ATATTTTCTTCTAAATATTTTTAAAACTTTGTTTCACAAAGTACTTAGCAAGCATGTTATTTACTTTGTACATACTTTGTGATTTTTCTCTCTTTTAAGTGTTACAAGACTGTCAGCCTCTTTGACAAGATTTACAAATGTATTTTCTTTTCTAACAACATTTTTTGCTAATTCTTACATGTATATGAAACATCTTCATCACATCTACCCCTCTATTCCCCACCTCCAACTCCCCTTGCCCCCTTACACATCTCCCTCCAAATTTCATGACTTTTTTCTCATCTTTCTACTATTGGTTTTCAATTTGATTTCACTACACTGTGATAAAATATTCTGTGTGAAATCTGTACTCTTGAATTTGTTTTTATTGTTGTTGTGATTAATGATATGATCAGATTTGTTGATTGTCCATTAGTGACTTGGAACCAATGTTCATTTTGCTCTTTCTTGTTGGGTGGGCTGTTTCAAATATATGACTGGTATTTCATATAGATTCTCCTGATTAGCAATTTTGTTGCGCAGTTCTACAATATCCCTCCAATTTTGTCAATTGCTAACAATAAATAGTTTCACTTGATTTAGATATTACTGTTGACATGTCTTAATTTCAACACTTACTTCAATGTTTCATTTCCTTCTGTCCTCCATAAGTTCAGGTGAAAACAGATACCTTTTTCATTTGAATTTATTATGTTCCATAGGCAACATTTCTCTCTGCTTGATTATAAGCAGTTTTTTCTTTGTCTCTGGTTTTTACATATTTAAGTAGAATATGTTTGAGCTGGATTTCTTTTCTGTGTGCTGTTTCATTTCAGTGTTTTCTTAGTTTACTAAAATATTTAGGTTTATATTTTCAACAAAATTTGATCATTTTCAGTATAAATTCCTAAAACATTTCTTCAGCTCCACACATTGCTCTGCTCTAAAAGTTCCAAAACTATGAACATTACATAGTTTATCATTATCCCAGAGGTTTAATTTAAAGTTCTTTTCAGAGACACCTCCTGCTAGTCAATGCATTCTGTAATGACTAGAGCAACTCCATTTTGCACAAAGTAGCCACCTTAGTCTTTAAAAATCAGAGAAGCAGCCAGCTCAAGGTCTGAACTTAGTTCCAGTAAGTCATTCCCCACCCAAAAGTTTGTTTTCCTTTTAGAAATAGCTGACAGAAAGGAATATCTCCACCCAGATATTGCAGCTATGTTTCTTGCCCATCCAAGGGAAAATAATCTAAACAATATTCTGTCTCTCTTGGTAACATGCTGAAATAATAATCAGAAAGCTCCTTACTGTCAAGGTGTCTAGACATCTGTTAAGAAAATGACTAACAATTGCTTTTTGGGGCTTCTGTAAACTTGTTTATTGCTTCATTTAAGGGTCATTGTGACCCCACTGTCCTTGCAACTGCCAGTAGCACAGGAATGAATGTGATTTCTGCCTTTGAAAGATGCGCCTCACCCAGCTGTGCTGCAATCTTCCTTATCTGGCCTCTGAAGACTGTCAGCCACCTGCTGCTTTAATAAAGTTTTGGCTAATAAAAATCTGAACTGGGTCTGGTTGTCTTTTTTCAGTGATCTCCAACTCCATAACATTCTAGACATGCAAGGGAAGCTGTTCCATGAAATCTCCACAGTATGGTAGATCTGCATAATGAAAAAAAACGGTTGACATGTCAATGTGAATGGAATTTACTGTGTCCCACCACTAGACGTAGAGCTATAGGCAATCAATTGTTGCTGAGGAAAAGAGATTCAGTTTTCATGGATGCTGAGGGAAGGAGAATCAGTTTCCTCCAGAAACTAGCTGAGAGGTTATCAAACAAATCTCAAGGGCAGCCATAAATATATGTACATGGGAAGATCACTAAATAGACTCAGTGGATATTTATATATATGGATATATATGGATAATTATATTTATGAATGTATATATTATGTACATATAACAATAATAATCAAAGAATAGGACAAGAAATTATAAGGGAGTTGTGGGGGAACATAAGAAGAGTTGGAGGCAGACTGGGAGGTGTGGGAAAATATGTAAATACAATACTCATGTATAAAATTCTCAAAAATAAAATATGCATATATAAATAAAAAATACTAATAAAATTTTCATTAGATAATTTGAAAATTTGGTCTCCTTGCTATCATCTTAGTTATTATATTTTCTAATTATAATTTCTCTGATATTATAATATCTGTTCTGTTATTTTATTTTACTTGTATGAGTGTATTGCCTGCATGTATCTTCATCCATGTCATGCAATGCCCACAGAGGTCAGAAGAGGGTGTTGGATCCCCAGGAACTGGAGTTAGGAATAGTTGTTATTGATGTGTAATTTTTATTATATCCTAAAGACATTTTTATAATGTCTAGATATCTTATTTAAAAGTTTGCTTTTAGCAGTCATTTTGTTTAACTTTAGATATGTCTCCATTTTTGCACATTAATTTCAACGAGAATTTGATTTTCAGTGTTTTTTAAATGCTCTTTTGTTCTCTTTTTCTGGTGTCATTCAGCCACAACACTGAAAATCTGCACTCTGAGATTTCTGGGCAGTTTGGGAACAGATCAAAGCAGCTTGTTGCTCATGGTAAAAAAGAATGCTTTTCTGACCTGAGCCATTTGTTGCTAGTAGGCTTCGAGTTCCTACTGCCACCAGGGTTACCCGATAGTGGTGTTTGTTTTTCCATTATATTCAGGAAAGAAACTTTGTTTTAAATCACCCTTTGATTCTATGTTAGATACTGGGTTATGTTCAGCCATGACTGTTGTCTTCTTTTGCATGAGGTATCTTGAATAACTTCACACCCTGGACTTATTCCTTCAGTACAGAACTGCCTAACAACTTTACCTTTTCCCTTCAGTTTTTCAGTCTTCCTGTCACTGGCCAATGAATTATTTTTGAGAATTATAGCTGCATTCAGAAGAGAGAAGCAAAGAGGCATGAATCTATATTTCTGGACCTCAAATACTAAATTTTCATAGAAAGGGATTCTGGAAAATTTACGTTTATTAATATTTCTTACATCCACATCCTGAAGTGAAAAGGCATGTAAACAATTTCATGTCCAGAGAAAATGTTGAACAAACATCTGCTCATAAATAATGAGAACTTGAATCAGGAAAGAAAACCAAAAGGGTAATGCAGGATGCCAAAATCACAAGATAAACTGAGTACCATCTCGATCCCACAGAAAAATAACTGACACTGTTTATGAGATGTGAATAACAGACATTTAAGAACAAATGGGCCCTGAAAATCTTAAAATTTTTGAAAGGTATCATGGAGAATTAAGTGTGACTTAATGTAAAATGCCTTGTAATTCAGATAATGCAAAGAATATGAAATATTTGGCTATATTTTAGTAGAGTTAGAATCCGCATCAATTCATTTCCTAATTTAATTTGATTACCACTTCTTTACCCTAATATATGAATGAAAGATCACATATAATTGTGAGAAAGGTTTGTTTCTAAGCTAATGAAGATAATCAGAACTACTAGAATCAACTTATCCAAGCACTACCTGTGTGAGTTGATGGGTCCTGTCTCCATGTATGAAAATGTCTTTAAAAAGAGAATATGCTCACTACTATATGTTGTTTTTTGTTTGAGAAAAATAAAATTATTACACTCACATGAAAATGGTTGGGGCTAAAGATTATGTTCAATGAAATAAGCAAGATTCAGAAAGAAACACATTTTTATTCATATGCAGAATGCAAATTTAAATACATATGTAATTTTAAAATGGGATTATGAGACTAGAGGAAGAGTCTAAAAGGAAGCAGGAGAGCAAGAGAGGGTATATAAAAATGGGGTAACTATTTATGGGGAGTAAATGGATCAACAGTTCAAGGGATGATGAGTAAGATAAGAACAAATTATTAAGATATAAGTAAGGGAATTGCCTACTGGCATCCATTTTGTATGCTAAGCAAAAATTAAAAAAAATAAGTTCAAAACTGAAAAAAAGATCATGAAATTTATGGATTCTATTGATCATAATATATAATATTAATCATAATATATTAATCATAATATATTGATTCTATTAATCATAATATATTAATCATCATATATTAATCATATATATTCTATTAATCATAAAGTCATCAACTTTCCCAGATGACAGGACTCTGATTCTATATATCTGTTTATATATCTATTCATTTTTTTTTAAATTGCACCACTGAATAAGCATTGTGTAAATGGATCATGAAAATCTCCACCTAAATACTTGAAAATACTAATTGGCATATGTATCCAGAGATATTATAGTACTTTTTATAACAGTGTTTTGAGTTTTCTGCTTTCATGAAAATAAGGAATACAACTGTTTGGATTCTAAACAAGCTTCAAAGGAGAAATGACAAGCTACATAAACTGATGACCCTACTCGGGCTATGTAAGGTGTGAAAATGAAGGACTGCCTGTGGGAGAATCTGTGGACTGTATTTTTGACATCTATTTTTAAACAGAAAAACAGAAACTGATAGGGCCCTGAGAAGGATGGCAAAAAAATCTCATGTGCTTTTTATTCCTTTTATTGCATACAAGAATAATGGCATTGTCTACATAAACAATTTATTAAAAACATCTGATTCTGGAACCTTTATGTAAACATCCAATATTCCTAAACAGAATTTATTCAAAAGGCTGTAGCTATAGATATCACAAAGAACTAATTATCAATGTTAGATTGAAAATCAGATGGACTTAGTTCATCAGCTGTGACCTAAGAGAAGTCCAGTTCAGAGGATGTGGTGTAGTCATTAGATTTTTTCTCCTAGTACATGAGCTGACCTAATAGAAATGGCATACAATTGAGATGGTGCTCATATATTTGACAGTATGAGCATATGTGCTCGAAATTCCAAGATCAATGTTCCATGGACCCTTAACAAAATGTATTTGTGTGGTATTGATATAATATTTAATCTACTTGGACTGACATCCACAGTTTTAGTGTGAAGACAATAGAACTGAAAAGGATGCTTACTTCAGCATCACATATACTATAATTAGAATGATACAGAAAATTTAGTATGGACCCTACACAAGGATGACATGCAAATATGTGAGGCATTCCATTAATGAAAAACTGATCTAAACCTAGAATAACTAACCACCACATAATTCTATAACAGCCTATGTATACTGGTGGGGGCTTGGCCTAGAAAATATTAGAACACAGTCTCATGCATTTTGTACTTAGTATGTAGAGAACCTACACTATGTACAAGAGTTGATAGATCTAGCTATCTAAAATCTATCTTTATGTTGTGGAAAATCTTGTAACTGATTTTGCCTTTTGCCTTACATACCTATCATGCTGGAATGCAGTCCTTCCTGTTTCTTATCAGAGAAAACTACATAAGTCACATGGTTTCCAGGAATCCGAAACTTAGAGAAACTGAAACTTATCATGCTAATAGGGCATCTGGCCCACTAGATTGTAATAGGATACTAGTCTGCCATGCTAATAAGGGAGCCCATATGCTGTGTTGTGATTGGACTATTACCCTCATATAAGGCCGTACTTTCCTGCAATAAAGCAGATCTGTATCACTGAACCTGGTCTCCTGCTTCTGAATGTGGTGACGCTGGTGCAGACTCCTCACCAGCCCTGGGGTCTGGACCGGATGACTGATCAGAGAAACTGAGAGAGCAGGAGAGCGACCATAGCCAGAGGAGAGCAGCCACAGCCGGCGACCACATCTTTACATACATACTTACTCAAAAGTAAATATTTTTTAATTTTTTTATTTAATAGCCACATGATTAGAAGAAGCATTTCATTATAGCTTTAACATATTCAGTAACACACTCCAGAGCAAGGATACATCGCTTTCCAAAAGTGGCTGTAAATTTTTAGGTTCACAGTTGAAGTAATACAGGTATACAATATTGAACTCAGTATAAACCCTATAAGACATAAAATTGAATAAGTCTTTAACCTTTAAAGAAGATCTCCATTTCATTTTAAAATATTCTGTTTCCTACATTTTTAATGCTACTAACACTTAGATGTTTGCACATGTGTCTTTAATCTCTATGTATCTGATTATTACTAGTCATATTCAGTTACACTCGGATCCTTGGCACCTGAGTATGGGTATAAAGTCATCAAGTTGATTTCAATGGTAGTGTTTATCACCTCTACTAATTAACATGAAGTAAATTTTTAGGCTTTCTCCTCAAATGTAAGTCTTTTTTTAATTTGTTGATTTTTTTGTGTGCATATCATACAGGACATCCCACACAATCTTATTCATCTTTACACCTTCATCCCAAATGGCACCCTCCCATAGCATCCCCTTGCCCCCACTGGAGGCCATATACTCTGTCATCCCTGTTGCTGCCCACTGTGTTGTCGGTGCCCCCAGCCATTCTCCAGTGCTTGTGCATCTGCTAAATCTAGTCAGTCTATCTAGATATCCTTGTTTTAGGAAGATCAGCTGTTCCTCATCTAGCAGCAATCAGTTGTCAATATCAAAAGTAAATATTTTATCAATGCAAATCAGAATGCTGTTTTTTTTTTAAATCTTCCTCACTACACTTACAATTTAAAAAGTAAACAGTCTTTATATTTGTGGTATGTAAATATTAATGATGTCATCTCTCCAGTTTATAAGCATATATCAAAGTCTCCATTGTGAATTGCATTTATTGTTTAATTTATGACACAACGTAAATTGGGGACCCCTCATAGGGTTCTTAGTCTTATTAACAAAATTATTTAAGAATTGACTCAAACTTATGCTTTTAATTATAGTTTAAAAGAAAATCCCTCATGTCATGCAAGGTGCAAATGTCAACAGTTGCCCAGAGAAAGAAAACTGATAAGGAAAATGCCTTGTCATTTAAACGCCAGCATGGAGGTCTGACAGATGACAGACAAACAGCCATGTGGAAGAGAGGAGAGCTTTAGAGAAAGAGCAAGGAACCCAAAATGTTGAAGACTCACAAAGTGTTATGGAAGGCATGCTTAGAAAAGAGAGAGAAGAAAAAGGGAGGCTGTACTTCTTTGTAGAATTAAAAAATGCGGGCATAGTTATGAAACTGCATGGATGTGACCCAACAGACTACTGTGTATAGGGTGGGGGAATTTGGGGTAGGAAAAGTACATTATCTCATTAAATAATCATTTTGATAGTCTCTGTAGCTTGGCTTATGGTGAACTCTCCTTCCTAGCAGTAGACCCTTGAACAGGTGATGGACATGACCCAACTCTATTGTTAGGTCTCATTTTCTAGTTCAGAATACTGTTTATAATTTATATAAATCAATTTAATAACTACAATTAATCACTTTTGCTGTTGTATATGATATTAAAAATTCATAACTTTAAGTATAAGTTGCTTAATTTGGGTAGATAGCATATGATGTAAATTCAGGTTAAAAAAAAAAAAACCTCATCATTAATTACCTACTTGCATGACTGGTATTCATAGATAAGCTTAGGGTGTTTAACACAGTAAATGGATAACTAACAATTACCTGATTATTTTTCCAATACTGAAAAATGTTATTTTTCAGGATACTATCAGTTATATCTGAAAGAACTTGCTCTAATTGCATTTTCTTTGCTGTGATCCCAAGGAAAACAATGTAGGGGACAAAAGAGTTTATTTTAGCTCAAAATTCCAGGTTATACTCCATTATGATGGGGAAAGCAAGGTTACAGGAACTCAAAGCAGCTGGTCATACCTCATCCATGAGAAACATGGCGTCCTTAGTACTCAGCTTTCTCTACCACTGTGTAGTCCAGTGCCCCAAACCAGGGAATGGTGCTGTAATAGAAAGAACTATAATGGAACTGCAGCTTTCAAATCAGGAACCTAAGGATAAAGTGGGAAATCACAGCTTTATTTCTGATCCTGCTGGCAGCAGGTTGAGAGGAGTTATCTCCAAAGCCTGAGCAATGGGCAGCAATCCTTTTCCAGTATAATTGGACAATTTAGTGTCATTTCAGAAACACTCAGGCATTGGTGGGAATCAAAGTCATGTGAAGTTCTACATCTCCTACCTATGGGTCATAAAAGGGGTGGGGCCTTAATTTGGAAGTCCAAGGAAGAAACATTTACAGGACCCAAAGCAAAGATTATGCATGCTTTTCTCAAGGAAACAAAGGCTGGTCTCCTAGGTAAACTCGATTTCTTTAGCCAGCAGGGGTGGATAAGCAGGAGTGATTTCTTAGTCTACCTGCTCTGTATTTTTGTTGTTGTTGTTGTTGTTATTGTTGTTATTTTCTCTCTCTCTCTCTCTCAATTAATTTTATTTTTCTTCCTTAATAATTTCAGGGTTTTGTTTTGTTTTGTTTTTTTCTCTTCAGTGCTACCAACTTTCAGGGTGTGTTCTCACATCAGTTAAGGCAATTAAGACATTTCCTCAGATCTAGACAATCTCTCATTGAAATTCTTTTTCCAGGTGATTCTAGGTTATTCCAAATTAACAGTTAAACCTAACCATCACTGGCTTATTAGTTGAAAGAATAGAGGGCTTTGTCAAAAGAGAGGTAAATAAAAATAACAAGTCATACCTCTAGAGAAACTGTTATCAGTTTCAACTGTCAAGTAAAGAAAGGTCTGAACTAATTATGTTCAAACACTGATAGCAATATATTAAGGCATACCATTTGCTTTTTAAACCATGAAAATTTTATCTTTTGATATTTTTCAATTATTTCTGTGGTAAACCATTTAAAATAAAAGCATAGAAACAATAATTAGTAGTTGGTAATAAGAATTTAAATCATTTTATATAGTTCCCATATTTCTAAAAATTGAAATTTGTTCTGTTTGTCTACATTTTTCATAATTTGAGGTTACCAATAATTTATATTTACAGTGTGCCATGAATCAAAGCTGTGATAAAATCAATTTGTGGCTGTCCTTATGCCAACATGCATAATGTAGCATATTTTGCTTTCATAATGCAGTATAATATATAGGTCAAAATCTTCCTTTTTCATGGTCTTGTGTAAATGAAGTTTGGTTTTCATTAATGTGATAGGAATACAGAAAGTATTACTGGAAACAAAGACAGAGAAAATAACCACTGCTGGGAAGACTTTCCTTTTTAACATTAAGGTAGCAAGTTACATAGCTTTTTAAAACCTTCCTAAAGTGTGTGGTTTTAAACTGGACATTATAAATAACTTAAAAGCCCAGGTCAAAAGGTCTTTATGCAGTCATTATAAAAATAATTTTCAGAAGCAATGTGATCTTTTATGATTTTATACTGAAGATATTTCTAAATGGAGATGAAATTAAATAAATATTTAAAATTCAATAGAAATGAAAACAAGCATTCCTTTGAGCAACTTTTTCTTCCATATAAAAATGCTTTTTTTCTATCACTTTTAATAAGCATTCATTGAAATAACAATAATTAAGACCCTTTGACTATTTTTTAAATAATATCTCACAGGTTCCAGCCAAAGTGCTAACAAAGTTTAATTTTACAAGTGTATATTGTTAACTGTTTATAAAATAATAAAATAAAGTAGCAAAGCAATGGAATTTAAAACTAGAAAGGATTTAAATGTCCATAGAACAGAATTAACCTATGATGCTTGAGAAGACTAAGAAATGCTCTCCTGACTGGCACATCTCTTACATTGGTAGAATATTAAATATGCCCCAAGAGGACAGTGTAGTTATCTGCAGGAAGCTGATGGGTTTGTCTACCATTTAAGTGACAAGAAACACCACAGCAAACTATGTGAGGTGAAACACTCCTGACATCCAAGTACTCAAGAGACTAAATCAGGAAGATATAGACTTCAAGGTCATTTTGGTGCACGTAATGAGTTCAAGGCCAGTCTGGGACTACAGGGTCAAAAAGACCAAAAAATAAAATAAATAAATAAACAAGTAAACACTTTAAGTACATATATGCTAGTTCTCAATCTATTTCATTATTCATCTGCTTATATTGATTGTTACATATAATAATAACAAGATAATGATAACCATAGCAGAAGATGCTGTTTCTTAAAGGGACATGAAGCATGTTTGGACCTGTAGCTGGTAGAAATTGCATTAGACAGAAACAACACTATATATAGAAATCTAAACATGATGAGGTCATAA